CAAATGAAAACACATGCTCCATTTTGTGAACATGTTACAAGATTTGATGGCAGAGTTGTTTTGCAAAGGGATGCCAGGCTTTAGCAGGTTGTGTGTGATGTTTGGGATTGTGTGTGTGTGCAGTTTTGAAAAACTCGTTTTAGCAATCGAAATAAACTGTAACAGCGCTATAAAGGATCTTTATTCTGTCAAACAACTAAAGAATGTGGGTCGTTGTTGTTACACAATGAAACACTTTGCATTCTATCTTGCCAGTTTTTTACACCTGCTTGAATGAAAGGCAACCCTTGTTGCTTCCTTTGGATTTCTCCTACAACCCAAAAATATGAATCCTGGTTATTCCAAACAGACCTTAGAGGTGAGAATAAATTATCCAATATGGCTGCAACAGTAAAACATCACAAACCAATCACAGCCACAAGCATGTGGGCATTTATTATTTAAAACTGCCTTCCAGGATCAGAGGAGGCGTGGAGAAGAAACCCAAAAGTGTGAGACCAGCGTTGAGTCAAAAGCCTTCCTCCTCCTCCTCCTCCTCCTGTGTGTGTCTCATTCAGTGTAACTCTCTCTCTCTCTCTCTCTCTCTCTCTCTCTCTCTCTCTCTCTCTCTCTCTCTCTCTCTCTCTCTCTCTCTCTCTCTCTCTCTCTCTCTCTCTCTCTCTCTCTCTCTCTCTGCTGCTTTAATTCGATGAATCAAGCCAGATTAGCACTCAAACACACTCATTAGTTTGTCCCAGATTATTGCAATGGTTGGTCTCTGTAAAACCTTCACAAGAGCTCAGTGTCTTCCCTGTGAGTCGGTTTGGGGTGTATAGGTTTGGATTTTGTCATACAGATTATAATCCTGTACTGGATTGTACTGGATTATACCAACCTAACAAGGAACCAGCTGTAATCAGATCTGGAACCAAACTGAAGCGTAACCAGAGGAAACTAATGTAAAACTTTAACTGATCATTAAAGGTGCCATTTAGAAGAATGACATCCGGTGGTCAAATGAGGTAACTGCAATCCATTTCCTGAGCAATAAAACCACTCTCATGGCTGTTTCCAGTTACGGATAAGCACCTGAAGATTCTAGTTGGCAAACAAAGATGATACCTGGTGTTGACACTCTTTTGAGTGTTTTATAGTAGGGAGCATTTACTACACTTATTACGGTAGCATGTCTCTAGCATTACAGGAAGGGCAGTGGTTTCCACCATTCAGTGGAGGGATATAACGCGCCAAATATTGGTGTATCTTCAGAGCAGAAAACTCCTCCGTCTCCTCTCGTGTTTACGATCAGATCTCTAAAGCTAACAATATGATGCATAACATACCAATTATGATATAGAATATATTTTGCAGTTTTAAACTAAAATTTCTACGGAAAATGGAGGAGGATAGTTATTGCGTCAACCAATCTCGCCATCAGTGATGATGATGAACAGGAGGAAGATGACACTGAGGCAGATCCTCAAATATAAAATATTCTAAAATAATATAATAATCTATATTTGAACAGAAATAGTATCTATTGTTTAAAAACTTTTCAAAAATATTTCACAGTAATGTCTTTTTATAAAAATATACTAAATAGTTTAACCCTCTCAGGCTCAAAATAAGTGTTGATAAAAGGACGAACAACTAAGTCTTTCAGAGGTACTTCCGAGTTAAAAAATGCTCATGAAATACATATGTGGAGTAACCAGGTAGGTAGGTTTTAATGCTGCAAATCTGCAACGCCTGCCTCCAGAGGGTTAATAATTGTGATATGTTCTGTATTTTTGAACAGTGATATAATGTTGTAAAATTAGCTAGCTTATTCTAAAATGTCTCACAGTTATCTATATTATTCAAAAAGAATGTTTATTTAACTTGTTCATGTGTTTTATTTTGGGATTTTTTTTTACCAGAACAAGGCCAACGGCCACATTTGAGCACTTAGTTTTCTCAGATTTTGGCATGAAAATAAATAATTTTGAAAATTGTAACAACAGAAATACACTCTGGTTATGGACTACAAAAACACCCCGGGGTTGAAATAAAAAAAATTAAAATACTTAAATGACTGCCCTATAAAGGGTGAAAGAGCGAGTGACACCAAAATGAACAGTTGTTGTTGTTTTTTTTGCCGATAACCTGTATACATGTGTCTAATAGTGCTGTAGACACGTGTAGCCATTATTTTGGCAGTTTAGTGCAACTTACTTAAAATTAAAAAAGATTTTTCCAAAACCATAAATATATCTCTGTCTTCAGGTTGACAGCTGTTGGCTTTAGAGCTGCAGGGTGACGTTGTCTGTACCGTATTACATGGCTGCACTGCACCTTATTCCAGGTGAGTCTTGGCTGGACCTCCAGCTGGCTCGGGCCCTCATGAGCTTGTAGGAAACATTGTGGCTCATAATTGCTCACCATCTTAAAAAACGTCCTCCTCCTCTCTTTCTTTAGTGATTGCAGTGGACAGGAAATCCTCCAGCCTGCTACAGATTCTGTGTCTGTTATTCTCCTGAGTGTCAGCTGTGTGTGTGAGCTCTTGTGCATTCGTGAGTGTGCGTGCGCTTGTTAACGACTGAGAAACTCCGAGAGCACGGGAAGGAGATCCTCCAGGCAACGCCTCCTTAAGGCACATTTTTCTAACAGGACGTGTGGGTGAAGTAAGACTCCACTTAGTGTGTGACTCGCCCTTTAAATGAAGTAAAACTCCACTATTGACTCATTATTCACTTCACACGTACATTTCTGTCATGATCCTGCCATGTCCTGACCTACATGCAACCATCTACCTCATCAGCCTTCATGCATCACACCTGGTCCCCTCATCAAGCTCATGCCACACACCTGCCTCACCAGCTATATATTCGACAGTCAACCACCAGCACTCTGCCAGATTATTGAACGCTCCTGCTAGTAGATCTTCCAGCCTTTTCATCCTGCCTGATCATTGCCTACTGACCTTGTTTCACGCCTGACCCTCGCCAAGAAATCTGCCTGCCTCCACGACCATAGACTGTACATACTGGACAAAATGATTCCATAGGCTCCAATAACACGTGTTTGGCCTATAATGGGAGGTGTCCACCACCGCCATTTTGACCGTGTCACAGGTTCCGTCCAGCCCAGACAATTCCATAAAAGGGAAGAGAGGAGGAGCTGAGGGTGGGGCTGTAAGGCTGGGCTCGAGTGACGACACCCGTGCGAACTAGCTACGAGCTAACCTGAAGCTAACCCTGGCTAACCCAAAGCTAAAGCGGAGGTGGGAGCCGAGCTAACGGATGTAGCCACCTAGCTTCAACCCAACCGGAGCTAACTGGAACACCCATTGACCTGAACCTCACACAGAGTTTAGGTGGAGGTTATCGGCGCCTTTTCGTGACAAGTACCTGGATTAAAAAAGTATTGAATCGGTAAGTTTATAATTTATTTCCGTAATGAAAACATTTTGCTTTGAGCAAGTTTTCAGTACCGTATCATCCGGGCTATCGCTCCTGAGTTGCACCAGCCATTAAATGTATAATGAAGAAGAGAAAATATATTTAAGTCGTATTTTGGGGGGACATTTTATTATCTTTCTTACAAAATCTGAGACCAAGCGTTTCACATTGCAACACAAGCACCGTAACCATAACAGAATGAACAGCCAGCAGAGGAGAGGATGGCAGTGTTTCAAACCCTCCCGGCCGGCGAGGAGAGCTCATTCCTGGGCTGGAGCCGGCCCTCAGCACCCCGCCACAGGCTCTAACAGATGCTGGCGGTGTTTGAAACCCTCGCAGCGGGACAGGGGAAGTCATTTTTGGGTCGGAGTCGGCTCGCAGCAGCGCGCCACGTTCTCCAGTCGAGGAAGGCTGTTTTTGAAACCCTCGCAGCGGGACAGGGGAACTCATTCTTGGGCGGGTCGGAGTCGGCCCGCAGCAGCGCGGTGTAGCCGTAGCCTACATATTTTGTTATAAAAGTCGCTCCGGAGTATAAGTAGCAGGACCAGCCAGAATATGTAAAAAAGTGCGAGTTATAGTCCGGAAAATATGGCAGTTATTAGTATTCGAGCTAAATTAGCAGCCTAAATACATTTCATATATTTCCAAAACGTAATACATGTTTGTATCTTGTACAGCCAACTAGTCTTTATTCTGGACTCAGTACAATTTACCAAAAGTAAAGAGACATTCTACAGATGAAGTAAGCACAAGATAACTTACTGGAAGACACGGAATTATCATCAGAACCAGAACAAGAGAGCCTGATAACAGTCATGTGAAAATAACAGTTAAAAAGTATGTATGTATAATAGAACTAAAAATATATTAGAATTAGTGTAACTCACTGTGATCCAAACAATAAATCAGCCATAGCTGATTAGTAAATATGACATGAGGTCTGGGAGTTTTTAATTTTCATTTTTATTATATATATATATAGATCTGTTTAAATGTCACCATGGCAGCCTGTGTGTCTCCAACATCAGCTACACAAAGCAACAAAGCAGCAAGTGTAAGTTCCACATACCTGTCTCACCACTTCATGTATGGTTTTGTACTTTAAACAATTATGACAAACCTGTTATTTTTTCTCCATAGCCATTTGGATCATTGGAGACAGCTGAGTGAGGCGTGGTGCCCAGAGAGCTGCAGAGACAACCTTGGCCTCCCTGACGTCTGTGTCTCCTGGTTCGGTTGGGGCGGACCATCGACATACATACATGTGCCGACACTTTGCGCCCTGTTTTATAAACTGTAGTGTTAAAAATAAATGTTTTTGCTCAATTACTGGAATTTCTTTGGTTAAGACAAAAGTGAGGAATAATCATTTACAAGTTATTTGTACAACAGGCCCATTTTAAATCCCAACAGTTTCTTAGCAGACAATAGAAATGTGTTCTTTACTAACTTTACTCGGTTTAAAAATCTTACTAAAATAGTGCCGTATTGCAAAACCCAATCATACTTGTTATGTATACATTAGCTTTGTAGATATTTTTTACAGATATATATTTGTGTGCAACAAAAACCAAACTTAAATAATTTGTCATTCTTTATTGAAAAACAACAAAATACAGTTATACAGAAGTGTGGGAAAATGATAATGTGAAAGTATTGCTCTTTAAATGTAATCCTATTTATCTTTAAAAAGAAAAACTCTAAAAATGTCCTGTACAGCATCATGACAGAAGAATGGTGGTCTGTCTGTCAGAATGTGCTGAACAGATTTGCTCTTTGAAGAGGAGTGTCATGTTTGGAGGAAGGTACTTAACCCAAGACATGCAGAATACAACACTGACCAAAAACTGATGGAAAAAATGATTTATTTATAAGGAGGAACTTAAGGTGCACAGATAAGTCTGTGGTTGGAACTGCAACAACAGCTCAGCATCTGGAGGAGGGAGAACACAGGTGAGCTTAGGTTCTGGTTTCAAAATCCATTGTAGGCAGGCAGAGGTGTTCAGCAGACTTACTGTGGTGGGTGTATGTGTTGGCTGGAGGAGGGAGAAGTAGAGAGCCGGGGGAAGCGCAGGAGAGGGAGCAGAGGTGGAGAGAAGTGGGGCGTCCTGGTGGATGGGGCATTGGGTGAGATGAGAGGTGGGTTATGGAGGGTGGTGATAAGGTCCGTGTGTTGAATATCCAAATCCTGGAGTAGAGGTCAGTATCCAATGAGGTCGACAGGAATCCTGAAGAATGGTAAATCCAATATAAGAGCAAAAACACTACGACATAACATTAATCCTAGGAACACTAGAGGTAACACGAGTGGCTGGTTACTACCAAAACTGAGGTCGTGAGAGTTCCCCAGCTTCTCCTTGCGCTGGTCGGCCCGACCCACCAGGCTGCTCCAGGCCGTGTTCAGCTCCGTGCATTTCTCCTGGATGTCATCCACAGCCTCAGGGTGGGACTGGATCAGGCATTCTGCTGTCTCTCCCAGAGACTTCACCTGTGGAGTCACCAGAACCATGAAGAACGTGTCTCCAGAGACAACCCGGGTCCTGGTACCGATCAGGAAGCGGACCTTATCACCCAGAGCTGCCAGGTCACGCTCAAAGCCTTCATCTTCACGCTGCAGAGCCTGAACGCTGGCCAGGTCGTGGCCATAGTTGTCTGTGTTCAGGGCCTGGTTCTTCTCCTCGATCCACTCTTTGGTCTCATCAGCGTCTCTGAGAAGACATCAGAACTCCGTCTGAGTGTGGGTCCAAACTCTACTGACCCGTAAGCGGCACATAAGTGTGCGGGGTACCTGTGGAAGCGCTGCACCTCATGGGCGCTGCCCAGCATGTTGCTCCGGTCTTCAGCCAGCTGTTGCAGCGAGCGCCAGCGGTTGTTCAGCTCCTGGAGAGAAACCAAACCCAGTGAGATGAAGGTGGACGCCAGCGGGCTGGACGCCGGACGAGGAAACCTGGAGACGGATCGCTCAGACAGGAAGGGAAGAGCTTCCTCTTACCTTGATGGAATTAAAGTTAGCCGTCGTCTGAATGCCCAACTGTACGGTCTGAGGTCAAAGGTCACAGGAAACACACACCAGTCAGCAGTCATACAGATGCATAAAGATAACTGTAGCCATGGCAACCAGCTGACATGTCCCCACTCTCACCAGCACCTGGTGCCTGCCGGGTCACCTGAATTCCTGTGTGATGTCAGCATGGTCGGCCGTGACTGCGGCCATCAGAGGTGACCTCTGATCAGCTGAATGAACTCACCTTCCAGGGTGACGCCGTGTTAGAGTCGGCTTCATCCTGTAAACAAACAAACAAATGAGTGGTAACAAAAACACCACGTCTGGTTCTGGTGGAGGCGGAGGACAACACGCACCGTTCCAGGAGCAGAACCCAGATGTTCTTGTTGCTACAAACAGAGACGAGCAGAGTTAACAAACCAGGAAGTGAGAGGGACCAGCTGCTGCAGACAGGTGACGCTCAGCTGAGCCTGAACCATAGGAGCCTCCTCAGCCATCAGACCTTCTGACTCCAGTTCAGATGCCACCTTGTTGATGTCCCTCAGACGGGACTCGTTGGCCTTCAGGTCCTGCAGGACAAAAGCACCTGCTGGTTATCACCTGAGCTGATCTGACAGCTGCTGCTGGAAGACGGAGAGGAGGAAAAGTCCGACCTTCTGGAGGTCATCAAACTTCTTCTGCAAGACCTCGACCTGCTCCAGGTCCGAGCCGACCTCCTCGTTGGTCAGGGCGCCCTCCTTCTCGTTGATCCACTGCTGCAGCTCGTTGGCTTCGCGGAACAACATGAACTTCTTGCAGCTCTTCTCCAGCATGTCCTTACACTTCTCTCCGAGCTCCAACAGAGTCCCGTACCTTCAGAGGGGAGAGGACGGGTCAGCGCGAGACGGACGGAGTCGGCCAAAGACCAGGAAGGAACATGATGAGATGAGTCTCAGCAGAAACATCTGCATGCATCTACAGAGCAGCTGAAGGGCTTCAGGATTCTAATTCCCAATGGGAAGAAGTCCTGGAGGCTCCAAAGACCTCCAGATCAGAACCGCAGGGTTAGGATTACTCCAGCTGGTTATTAGAACCAGTTTAGTTGTAGAATTGGAATTTTATATCCAAGTTCGTTTGACTTCACCAGGATTCCCGATCCCACTGGAGTCTTCAGCAGGATTCCCGATCCCACTGGAGTCTTCAGCAGGATTCCCGATCCCACTGGAGTCTTCAGCAGGATCAGGATTGTGGGTTTTGTTCTGAAGCCCTTCAGACAGACTCTAGATGAGACACTAGCCGTCCGGCACCGACCCAAACGTGATCTAGTGCTGAGGAAGCCTGGGATGAGACGGATCTTCTATCCTGTTAGGGATTAGAAGATGGGAAGGGGAGGGGGTGCTGGGGGTGGGCGGGGTTACTCTGCTGCTGATGATGACGACATAACGGTACCACCACAACATGGATGGGGTCTCTGCTTCCTACTCACAGCTCTTCCACCTGCTTCATGCACACAGACACGCTGAAGGTCTCCTTGGTGACCAGCCTGCAGAGCAGCAGGCAGCGAGACCGGGTCAGGAGGTTAGAGCAGACAGAACAGAACCAGGAACCAGGTCGTTAGAACAACAACATTCACAGGAAGTAGGCACCTGTGGCCACCACCTCAGAGCAGAAGCTGTTAGTGAGCCAAAAGAAGAACAGCAGGCGTCTCTTACTGGTTCTCAATCTGCTCCAGCCGCGCCGCAATGCTGCTATGCTCGTCCAGAAGGTTCTCCCTGGAGGACGACTGGGTCGGGTCCAGCTTCTTCACATAGGCAGCCGGAACGAAGCCCTGACGGTCGTTCACCTCAACCTTCCACCAGTCCTGAGACACACACCGCCATTAACTGGCTGAAGCATCCAAGCACACACAACCACAGGCTCCGCCCACAACACTCGACAGGCGTTTGCTCCTCCCCTGACTCGTGTGGACAAAAGCCGTTTCACACACATTTCCTGTTTTCCACGCCCGTCTCTCCATCCTCATTCAGCTAAAGGGGCGACGGTGGCACAGGAGTTAAGTGCTCACCCCGTAATCGGAAGGTTGCAGGTTCGAGCCCCGCTCAGTCTGTCGCTGTCGTTGTGTCCTTGGGCAAGACACTTAACCCACGTTGCCTGCTGGTGGTGGTCGGAGGGACCGGTGGCGCCAGTGCTCGGCAGCCTCGCCTCTGTCAGTGCGCCCCAGGGCAGCTGTGGCTACATCGTAGCTCATCCCCACCAGTGTGTGAATGTGTGTGTGAATGGGTGAATGACTGATTGTGTTGTAAAGCGCCTTGAGGGGTTCCAGGACTCTAGAAGGCGCTATATCAAATACAGGTCACTCTGAGCTGGAGCTCGTTCCTCGGCTGTGAAGGGCACACGAACCTTGTTGGTGCTGTTGAGCAGCGTGAGGATGTCGCCCTTCTTCATGGTGACCTCTCGAGGACTCTTCTCCTGGTAGTCGTACAGAGCCAGAACCAGCTCCTTCCCGGTCTCATCGTCAGTTGGAGCCACTTGTTGCTGTCGGGTTAACAGGTCTGGTGTTAGAACGTGGTGGATAAGAATGTTCTGACGGGCCGAGGGTTCTGAACTCACCCTGCAGGACTGGGCCTGCTCCTTCAGGGCCTGGATGCTGCTGCCGTAAGCCGTCAGGTTCGACATCAGGGCCTCGTGCTTCTTCAGGAGAGCCTGTGGAGCAGAACATCAGAACCTTCAGCTCGTCTGACACAAGTGGAGCTTTCTCGCAGCGATGGTCCAATCGGATCCGCCACCGTAAAACAAACCCTGCTCAGTTCACCGCAGACGCAGCTCTGCGGGTGTTTAGTGGAAAAGCGTGAGCCTTCTGCCGGCTGCCACGTGTCATGGCTGCTCTGCAGCGGGAACACACATCACAGCTTGTAAACCGTTTGAAATAAGAGCGATGGGAACACGTTTGTCATCACTTCCTGTGCGAGGCCAGCACTTCTACCCCTAACCCATGAGACGCTCAAACGAGCAACGACGCCTGGTGGTAGACAACCGAAGGAAATGACAAATACAGAAACACTAATTATGAAGGACTGGAAAGAGAGCAAAGAAAAGCGATTGGAGTTTCTCAGGAAGGGACTTCCATACCTCGGCCAAGTCCTCGTCTTTCCCTTAGTCTGGACTTCCAACGATGGGCTCCTTCTCCCTCATCCAGGACTCGGCCTCATTAGCATCCGCAAAGTACTGCTGGGCCTGCAGAGAGTCCTCCAGGTCCTGCCTCCTCTGGGACGCCTTGGCCTTCAGCGTGTCCCAACGTCCATGAAGCTCCCACAGTTTAGTCTTCACTTCCTCACCAGCGAAGTGACCTGGACCCAAACAAAGTGAGCCAGAACCTGCAGACACCTCAGAAACATGTCAGGACCAGACCTGCTCTACCTTCCTCCACCATGGTCTCTCCTTTCTGGGTGACAGCCTTGATGCGAGGTTCATGACCTGTGATCTCAGCCTGCAGAGCCTGGTGCTTCTTCAGCAGGTTCTGGACACCAATCAGGTCCTTCCCTGAGGACACATGTTAGAGTTCAGCATTATGCAGTAGACAGACCAGTTTAACCCAGGGGTTTCTTTCTTCTACAATCTGCTCTTTAACTGTATTATTTCCTGCTATTTCAGCTGTTAACTTTATTTTCTCTCTAAGTGTTTTTCTCCCCAGAAGAAGCTACAACGATGTTCTGCTGAGCTGTGGTGGCCTCATGGAGGGGGCCATCGACTAGCACACTGCTGCTAACCACTTAATCATTCTCCCTCTCCTGATAATAACATTTTACTTTCTTTGATGTTGGATGTGCTACTGCTAGTTTACCCGTTTAATTATAGATTCACTAGGATAAATACAATAAAGTTTATCTCTCGCCAAATAGAATATTTACTAAGAAATCACAATGTAACGTGTGTGTGTGTGTGTGTGTGTGTGTGTGTGTGTGTGTGTGTGTGTGTGTGTGTGTGTGTGTGTGTAAAAGCCATGTGTATAGTGTTTATTTATAAAGCATATGTTGTTGGATTTTATCCAGAATCGAGACTTTGAAAATATATAGTTTAATTACAGTTTGATTTATTTGACATCTGTATAATGTTTATTATTTTGTTTTTTCCCCCTAAATACCTAACGTTTTAGTTAACATGAATATTAGTCATTCATCACAATACATGAAGTTACACATTTTAAATTTTAATAGGGGAAGACTGCAGGAGGGAGCAGTAAAATACAGGGGGTCCCCTGCAAAAACAAACTTTACGAGTCTGATGAAACTTGCTGGTGTTCCCGCTGCTTCTTCGGTAAACAGCGCCAGCAAAAACAAAGAAACTTGGGATCTTGTCGGCGTGGCGGTGGGATTTAAGGGAAACGCTGTATGCCCTATAGACTTCTCAACGAGCTGCAGTATTTCTCCGGTCAGATCTGTCTCCAAGTTCCATGAGCGGTCAGCCCGCAGCAGCGAGGCGCCGCATCGATCAGCCTGCCCGGCCCGACCGCTGGGGATTACCGGATGAAAGAATGGAGCACAGGAGTGTCCCTCCAAGCGGCGCGCCCCGTCATATTTCAACCCATGTTTATCTTAAATGCACTGGGTTTGACCCTTTTACCCATCTAAATATGCCCTATTAATTATTTTACCGTATTTTACATTTAAATTTCATGGTTAAACAGTACATGCTACATGTTAAACTGATAGTTAGCTAGCTACTTCGGTAAACTCAGCTAGGCGGCAGTGACATAAAATACAAATATAGATTTTAACTTACCGAAAAAAATGAAGTGGAGACTCCTTGGACGCTCTATTAGTGCAATTAATACCACAGCAAGTCATTTTGTCCAACAATTGCACCAATAATATCCAAAACAGAATTCACAAGCACAGAGACTCAAAATCCCGAAACAGTTTCCAGGCCAGACCGAGGCTCTACTGAGGCCTTTCCACGGAGCTAGCTCTGTGGTCACGTGGGTCTGATGCTCATTAATTATACAAAATTTTAGGCTTTCAATACACTTAAACAGAAGAGTGAGAAAAAAATTCACCCCCCTCAGAGTTGTCATGAGTGTACACTAGATAATTTAAACCAAAAACATGTTTTGGTACCAGGCTGTAAACATGTTTATTTCTGCTGTGAAATCGGCATTCTTAACATGGGAGTCAATGAGGATTTGCTCGCTTCTGACACCAGCCCCCAGCAGATGAGGGTGGAACTGCAATTTTTCTTACTTCCGGGATGGGACCATTTTTACAGCGGCATTGTGGGGGCTTGTCCACGACCCACGACTGTCCACGACCACGTCCCGAACCTACCCTGTTCTGATCCACGCCTGTCTTCGACCACGTCTCTCGCCTGCTCCTCGTGTCTGCTTCGTCTCAGCCAGTCCAGATCCACGTCTGTCCTCGACCACGTTGCACGCCTGCTCCTCGAATCTGCTTCGTATCATCCTGGTTCTGACCCACGCCTGTCCTCGACTCTGTCTCTACCTGAACTGAACTCCGGTAACGTCTCCTCTTAGCTTCAACTGTTTATTACCGCCTACTGTGCTCTGGTGTCCTTATGGTCCTCTGCCAAGTTCATAACAATTTCACTAAAATATCAAGCTGTTGTAGAGCTTATAACATTTTAGAGACTGTTTCTAATTCACTGTTAGCAATGTTACCTCAAGGTTGGCCTCTGTTCTGCTCCACCTGATATTGGAATAAAACAATAGAATGCTGTGGTTTCTGAGCCTCATTTATACTTCTCCTTCTGCGTCAGGGT